ACTGCCTCTGTCGCTGTCGACGCTGCCAAGCACCTGTTGTTGTTATGCTGCAGACGCTGCTGAGACGTCTGCTGGCCAGTTATTTTTCGCTCTGTGTCTGTGCCTTTGCCTTTGCGATTCTGATTAAATAACGTTTGACTTGGCGGGCGTCGACGTCGTCTGCGTTGTCTACGCTTTCGTCTTTGTCTGCGTCCTCGTCACCTACCATTTTTATGCGACACACACACGCACACATAGGCGTATGACACACATGCATATCCCCGTATGCAACAGGCAGTGCCCGTTATGAACTGCCAGATAACAACTGTCATTTTGTATGATTCCTCTTCTTCTTCTTCTTCTGTTGCTGTTTTGTTTTTTGTTACTGTTGTTTACGCTTGCTTAGGTGGCAACACTTGTCGCCGCATTCACATGGAAATGGCGTCTGCGTCTTATTGATCTACATATTTAAGCTCTAATTTAAACAAATTAATATTTTCTATTCTATAATCTCTTTATAATGAATATGCCTTCATATATGAAAGTTAAGCTCTAATAGTTTCGAGAGCTTTTGTTCTATTATTTTCGAATATTTCATTTTATAGCCATGGCTCTGACGTCACAGGAATAACGGTACCCAATAAAACTTTATCATGCTATTTATTGCATTAGATTAGATTTGGATGGCTTAGATATGGATATGGCTATGGATATGAATAGATTGCAAGAGTTACAATACTATTTCTATCAGATTGAGCAGAGAGCATTAAGAGTTAATAAAAGCTTAGTGCTGATCTACGTCTCTGAAATATGGATGATGATATGATATTGTTAATAAAGGTAGTCAGACTTCCTGTTATTATTATTCTTGAAAATATGTATGTAAATATGCATATATGTACATATGTACGTTTCTTAAGAGAGTTGCCATACCGCATTTGGCTCAATTCGTTTAAGCATTGATATTACAGCAATATAAAATCATAGAAATCTGAGAACGATACGAAAGCATAAATTCTTTATTATACTACTAGATGAGCGTAAATATATGTACAGCGTTGCCACCCTGCATTTGGTTGTAAGAAGGTCAATTCTAAATAATGTTTGACTACGTCATTATATGAAGATATCCAAGTCTACTTAAATACTATTATAAAGATAAGCAAACAAGCCGATGTATAGCTGAAAAGCGTTGCCATATTGTTGATAGATGAGTGCAATATTGATAAAATGATGTAAATATTTGTAGAATACCGGAGATGAAAGACCGTGTATGTAGTTTAAAGCGTAACAATTGCTAAATAGCGTTGCCACACTGCAGGAAAGTGGAATTTAACGAATGTTCGATGAAGTTATTAGAAATCTTTGCCACATCTGAAAGCGGCGACAATTCATTGCGAATATGTGCATACATACATACATGAGAGTATGAGTTTCTATAGAGCTGAACAGCGTTGCCACACAGCGAAAATGGTGTAAATGCAGCGTCTAAACGCCGCATCCGTTCGCTTCATTAGCTGTACATGGGCGCGCCATGCCACACGGGGGCACTACTGGGCAAAACTGGGCAACAATGTTGCTGCTGCCGCTGCTGTTGTTGCTGCAACATGGGCAACAGTTGTCGCTGCGCGCATTGCTCATCAACAACGGGCAACTGTTGGGGCTCGTTCAGCTCGTTCTTGTTCCTCTGTTTCGATTCTGTGCACATTCTCATTCTCAATAACCGAGTCCGAATCTCAGTCGCTGTCGCAGTCGCAGTCGCTGTCGCAGTCCTAGTCCCAGTCCCCGTCTCAGTCTCATTCCCATTCCACGCATGCGCAGTCTACTTTTCAATTTGGCATCATCAGCAACAGTTGCTGTTGCTGCCTGCTGCTGTTGCTGCTATTGTTGTTGTTGTTGTCTTTCATTTCTTGTCTTGTTTCAGCTGGCGTGTAAATCTATTAACGTCGCCTCGTTCTATGACTGGCAACGCATCATTGTAATTCCTCAGCTCACTTGCTGCTCCTGTTGCCAATTGCCAATTGCCAGTTGCCAGTTGGCAGCAACTGTTGCCAGTTTAGAAGTTGGCATTGCGATCGCCTCGTGCCAATTTGCCTAAGTCGTCTGTTTAACTATTTTTGCCATTTGCCGTTTGCTGTTTGCCGTTTGCCATTTTCCCGTTTTGCCGTTCGCCTCTTGGCCAGTTGATGTTGATGTGATGCTGCTCCATTTGGACGTGCGAGTTTTATCTCTTATATTTTATTTCATGGCACGTCGCTTGTGGGGCGTCCTCTTGTTGTTGTTGTTGTCTCGATTGTTGTTGTTGTTGTTGTTGTGCTTGTTGCCCAGTTAGCAGTCAGTCAACGTAGACGAGCGCCACCTGCTTCCCCAATTGCTGTGCGCTTCAATCTATTTGCATAGCAGCTACAAAGCCCAAACACACACACATGCACACACACACACACATGCACACAGTGCCCAATATGTGGCCCATTGTGGGTCAACAGACGCGAACCTCAATAGACGAGCGCCTTTTGCCTGGGCCATGATTGATGAACGACAGCTCGCTGCTTCTTAATTGCCGCGACATTAGGCCCACACTAGACATGCCGTTTGCCACGCCCCCCCTCCCCACCCATAGAGAAACGAACACGAAAACGGCAAAAACTAAACTCAAATGAGCCAAGGGCCGGTGCCGAGGCCAAGCTGTACCGGCATGTGGTGCAGTCTATTAAGTATAGATTAGATGCAAGCGTATTTAGATTGATGAGGCGGAGATCCCGAGATAAGCGAGAGCTGAGATAGTTGAAAGTTGAAAAATGTTGGCTAAATGCAAGTTAGATTTAACAACTATCTTAGAGAATTGAAGAGCTAAAGAAGTTGGATAGAAACTAATTAGGAAAATTCAAGATAAATAAGAGTTAGACTCTAAGATGGTTAGGATCATCTGAGATGAATGAGTTTGATTTAAGATATAACAGATAATCAAAGAAAAATTAATATGATCATATTAAAGTAAGATAAGATAAATACTAGATAGCTGCCAAGTTAGTTTGACATAGTAAAGTTAAGTAAGGATAAGTTGAATTAAATTCGGAAAATAATAGATGACAAGAGGATAGATTAAAGGTTGTCAAGTCAAAATAAATTGGCATATAGAGTATACAATAATGGGGAAAGTCTGTTATGAATGCAACTTAGATTCCATTTGTAAGCTTAATGTGGCGCGCATTCATATCGGATTTTCGTATCTATTTGAGAATTAAAGACAAATTTAAACTGTATTTCAAGATGGTTAAAAACTCCTGTGAAAATTAATTATATTAATTATTAATTCCTAAAAATTTGATAATCTTATATAAGCTTAAATTATTTTGGGTAAAAAAATATGAAAAAAAGTTAAAAATTTAGTCCCCGTTTGACAAGTTTCTGAAATGAGGTGAACTTGACTTAGAGAATTAAAAATTCAGCTGCTCTCGCGCCCACTGTGCGCGTGCAGTGCATTGCGAATGGCCCCACTGTGCGCGTTGAGCAATGGAAATGGCACCGAGACTTGGTCTGGGAGTGGGACTCGGACTGGGACTTGATCTGAGAGCTGGACTGGGGACTGGGAGTTGGGAGTTGGGAGTTGGTCTGGCAGTTGTTATTTGGTTATCTGTCCAAGCCATATAAGTCGACAAATGCGCAGTTAGGCCGTGGTCCATGGCCACTGCCTGATGACTGATGGCAATGACAACGTGTGTGTTACGTACTCGCATTTATGATTGGCAGCTGTGCTTGATGGTGGGTGCGGATGCTGGTGGTGGTGCTGGTAGTGGTGCTGCTGCCGCTAGACGCAGTCGCAAACACCGTTGGCTGTATAAATAAAAAGCGTACTTACGATTCCAGATGCAGCGTTGCAGTTGGAATGCGTTTAGCGGCGACTCGGCTCAGGTCCCCAAGAGTACCAAGCTCGACCGCACCGCCTCCCCATTGCCCACCCGCCCGTCGCTCAGCCACACAGCGGGGCAATGTCAAGAATGTTAATGCAGCGGCGGCAGCTATCGGCAATGACAACGTCGACGAGGCAGCAGCGCAGCCAACACATGTCAATTGATGGACTAGACGATACCCTGGCAAACGAGAGACTCTAATTTGCAAAGCTGCAAAGCTTTAAGGCTCAGAAAAGCTTCATTGTATTTATATATATTTTATATTATTAATATTGTGTATAATTTATAGAGGTATTTATTTTTAACTAAAATATGTCTTACATTATAATATTAATTATATAATATTTGTAATATAGTTTTTTTTTTTGTCTATTATTTCAACTTATTTTTCAAAAATACAAAAAAAAATCCTGAAGCATTTCTAAAAAATATTGTACTAATATTATAATATTTAATTTTTTTTTTATATTTCAAAAATAGAAGAAAAAAATCCTGAAGCATTTCTAAAAAATATTATAATAATATTATAATATTTAATTTTATTATATTTTTGTTGTCTAGTATTTTCACTTATCCTGAAGCATTTCTAAAAAATATTATAACAATATTATAATATTTAATTTTATTTATTTTTTGTGTCTAGTATTTCCACTTATCTTTTAAAAATAGAAAAAAAATAAATCCTTAAGATTTCTAAAAAATATTATAATAATATTATAATATTGATTTTAATTATTTTTTTTGTCTAGTATTTCCACTTATCTTTCTTTATCATATTATAATATTTAATACTGAAGAAAGAAGAAATTTTAATCACTTTCAACTTGCATTCAAGGGAGCCTACCCCAGCTGCTTGCACATGCTGTGTACAGGGTATAACAAGAACAACAACAACTAGAGAAATGAGCACAAACATTTACTTAATCCATTTCCAATGCAATTGCTCTCGTTCCCGTTCCCGTTCCCGTTCCCGTTCCCGTTCCCGTTCCTGTTCCCGCTCCCGTTCCCATTCCCATTCCCGTTCCCATTGGTCGTTGCCATAGTCGCTCCCATTGACGTTCCCGTTCCTTGTAGAATTCATCCAGTTTTTGTTATTGTTTTTGCTATTTGTTTTTTGTCGTTTCGTTTGTTTCTTCTTCTTCTATTTGCTTACGTACAACCACATAGAGCTAGATGGCAGGGGCTACAGTTACTTAGAGCTAATTTCCTGGCCGTTGGCAGTGGAGGATTGCCGTTTGGCCTTGGGCTTGGTCTGCTCCGGTAGAAAGTATGCCATCACGGTAAGCACGACCACGAAGCCGAGCAGAGTCCAGAAGGTGGCGTCGCAGCTGCTAAACAGCAAATTGCCCAGCACATTGCTGCCCACCACAGCGCCGAGTCGGCCCACCATCATGATGAAGCACATGCCCATCGCATTGATCTGCGTCGGATAGAAGTCCATGGCGATGGTGCTGACCAATCCGCCGCAGTTGCCAATGGCCATGGCCAGGGTCAGCGCAATCACGACCAGGATGAATTCCCGCAGCCAGTGGAGCAGAGCCAGGCATACGACGGTCAACACCATCCAGGCCACTGCAGGGAGAGAGAAAGAGAGAAGGGAGCGAGAGAGAGAGAGAGAAAAGAGGATTAGTTATAGTAAAGTAAGAAAGTACTAAAGAGTTGTGAGAAGACCGAGAGAGAGAGAGAGGGGGAGAGAATGCGAGGAAATGATAAAATATAGCCAAATAATGAAGTGGGAGACAGGTGAGAGTGAGAGAGAGAGAGAGAGAGGAAGACGGAGAGAGAGGAAGACGGAGAGAAAGGTTGAAGAAAGAGCATTGAACACAGAAAATTAGAAAGAGTGAAAGGGGAAGAGCGAGAGGGATACAGAGACAGATCAAGAAAAATGTTTATAGAGAGAGAAGAGAGATGATATTTAAATAGCAATGTGAAATGCAAATGCAAGAGAGAAAGGGAGAAAGAGCGAGGGAGATAAAGCAAGAGAGAGAGAGAGGAAGAGAGAGAGAGAGAGAAAGAACAGGAAGTAAACGGAGATAACAATAGAAAAGGATAAGAAAAGAACAAATATGGCAGACAAAGAGGTAAAACCTATAAGAAAGAGACAACAAAAAGAAGAAAGTAAATAATTGTAAGCAAGAAAGTGAAAAAGGATGAGAGCAGTCAAGAGAGATTAACGAAAAATGTATGGGGAGATTGACGGAAGATTTTCGAAAAGTTTCTCTCACGGCTTTCCTATTGATATAATGCCACTCATATTTTCGGTTATGTTGAAAGAGCTATGTTGTGTAAATCAGACTTTCTGCATCTAAAATTCTCCTTTCCGTTCAGAGGTAAACTTATATTGGGATTAAAGATATAGTCTTTGGTAACCAGAAATTGCCATTGATGTCCAGCAGTCGGTTAGTAGAGTTATGGCTGATGAAAATTGAACTGGTACACTCACTCAATAGGTTCCGCTTGCCAATCATATCGATGGTGTAGGCGAAGATTAAATAGATGACCGTGAAGGCGGCGCCGATGGTGATCATCACCAGGTAGGTATTGACGTCGGCCTTCATCGCGCAGGTGCCATCCTCTGAGGGATTCGGTTCGGTGTTGAAGTTCAGCAGGACGGTGCAGAGTAGTGCGCCGTAGGAGCTCTCCTCGCCCAGTTCGTTCAGTATGGTGGGGAACCACATGAAGATGCCCTGGGCGATGCCATAGATGACGAACTGCATGCCGCAGATGTTGAGCGTGTGCAAGACGCGTGAGCGATGGAACAGCGGCACCGTCTGCTGCCAAATGAGACGCAGTGCGTCACAGACGCCGTGCACATTGGACAGACTGGCGCCGCCGAGCTGCGGAGCCAGACACTCCACGGGATATTCGCTGGCCGGCCGGCCCGAATTGTAGACGTACATCTTGCGCAACGTTTCCAGGGCCTTATCGGTGCGTCCGTGAACCAACAGGTACTTGGGCGTCTCGGGCACCGTCAGCAGACCAAGCAGGGCCAGCAGCGCTATGGAGACGTCAGCGATGAGGAACAAGCGCCACGAGGCGACGTTCACGCCCAGCATCGAGCCACTCAGCTCCAGGGGCAGGATGCCGATGGCCATTGCTGAAAGTGGGCAGAGCAGGTGAGAGAGAGAGAGAGAGAGAGAGAGAGAAGATCTGGAATTGGTGAGTCTTACCTGGTGCAAACATGATGGCAAAGCACAGGAAGCAGGAGAGCAACGTGACATGGCGAACTCGTGTTCTGTTCCCATGGAACTCGCCGCACAGACTGAACACGCACGCCTGTCCGCCGGAGATGAAGAAGCCCGTGAGGAAACGGAACGCGATCAGCATCCAGATGTTCACCGAGAAGGCCGAAATGATCGAGGTGATGGCGCTGAGGAGCATCGCTAGGCGCAACGTCGTCACGCGTCCCCAGGTGTCGGCCAGAAAGCCCACGGCATGGGAGCTGAGCACGACGCCCAGAAAACCGGCCGAGGCGAGTATGCCCTGCTGGTCCAGCGTGGCCTGCAGATCACATTTGACCAGGGGCATGATCAGGCTAACGCCCATTATCTCTACCATGACGGCCATGAAGCAGAGGCCGCAGACCAGCAGCAGCTTTAGATGGAAGAGTCCGTGGCCCGTCAACGTGATGGCCTCCTCGAAGCTGTACTCGCGCTTGTCCAACGACTTGCGCTTGCCCGCCGCAGTGTCTGCAATACAGAGACGGCCATCAATCACGCGTCAATCAGCCGTCAATCAGTCGCCACAAGTCGAAACTCATTTGCATAATTGGCACTGGCTTAAGTACGGGCAGCGCGACGCGCTCCTCGAACAGTTAGACGGCGCTGTCATGTCGGAGCAAAGTGCAGATCCGGCTGCGGATTTGTCGGACGATGTGCGTCTGCCCAAGGAGCAGCCGACGCCGGCCTTCTTTGAGTCGAAAACGTTTCGGCTAATCTCGCTCGTCCTCTATCTGGGCGGCATCAGCGGCCTGGGCATGGTGCTGGCCCTCTACTATCTGATCTTCTTCGATTCCGGCATGCCGGACATTCATCTCAAGTTTCCCGTCTCGATTGGCGGCCAGCCGGTGCAGAAGGTGCACGAGTACCAATAGCAGGTGAGCCCCACTCAGCTACTACCACCCCACCCACCCCAACACCCAGACCAAGCCAACCCATGCCCTAGGCATGCAACACAACCCTCGGCCGGACACATTTCAAACTGACCATCGTCGCTTGTCTAATTGGATTTGCCATTCGGGCGATTCGAATGGCTCGACCTGTCTATACCCTGTAATGACCAGTCGAGTGAGAGAATTCGTATTATAAATAATCTAGAATCTGTTTATACCCTGTAATGACCAGTCGAGTGAGTGAATTCGTATTATAAATAATCTAGAAATGCTCAAGGCTTTTAGGAATTGAAAAAGTTAGCTTAGAAGTGCATGTTAAGTACATGTTAAATACTTAACAGGCAGATAAATATTTTTTTAATGAAATTTCAATTAATTTGGTTGACAATATTTCTTGTTAAGTCACAGCATCAATAGCTTATAGAGTATTTTATTCGGGTTTTATCGGCTTTTCCTAGAGAGTATACCTATTTATTTTCAAGAATTGCTATTCCTGCTATTTTCATTCAGTTTGTCATCGGGGTTTTTCCTTATGCGGGGCATCTTTTCTCTAAGAAAACTTGCAATTGCAGCTCATGAGCACAGAGTGACCGACTGCTAGATACCCTGTACACAGCATACATGTTTGTTGTAAGTGTACTTGGGCAAGCTGAAATAATCTGAGCTACATGGACTGCATTAGCTAGACTAACTACCCAAAAAGAGTTCACTAGATGCTTTGCTTCCGTCTGTAACAAAGATTGTCGCGCAAACAGCATACCCATCATGAAGTACCAAGTACATGGTATTTAGAAAAACAAATGACGACAACGTCGACAACAAATCAAACCAGGTCAAGTGGCCAGAGCACAGAGCACGTGATGTGGGCAGGAGGAGGAGGAGGAGGTGGAGGAGGAGGAGGGGGAGGAAGGCAGGTGCGTGGGCGTTTGGTTGGCTTACAGATGGAGGGTAGAAGCTTCTAGGCAGCCACAGTGTTGAATCTTATTAGTGTGGCGGTCAAGACGCTGCCTTCATCATGCGGAGCAGCGCAGCAGCGGCCCGGGCAGCGCCCAAATCGCAATCGCTATGCGAGAGGAAGAAGAGGAAGAAGCGAAAACCGCAAAAATAAACACATGAAATGCAAATTAGCAGCAAATGCGACCGGCAGTCGCACGCCTCGATTCAGTAGCCCTCCAGAAACGCCGAGCCGTGGAAGAGCGCCGAGTTCGAACGGGTTTCGATTAGACGTAAAATAGAATTCTATATTTACATATATACAACATCTGGATATCATGTCCGCGCCCACGCTAAATCTGGCCGCCGTTGTCAAGGAGGCAAAGGACGAGGAGATCCAAGTGCCCAAGTCGAACGATTTCTTCGAGTCGAAAACCTTCCGGCTGCTCACCCTGGTGCTCTACATGGGCGGTGTCAGCGGCATGGGCCTAACCCTGGCCATGTACTATCTGTTCATCTGGGACTCGCGTATGCCGCCGCTGCCCGTCTTCAAGCATACGCATCCCATTGGCTAGACGCAGGACCCATTGGACACCAAACTCTACCCTCTTCCTCTTTATATTTTTCATTTTTGGGTAAGTCTCTTGGTGTCTTAGAGCACCGTCCCTGACACCGCCTCGCTTTCACTTTGTTTTTGACCTGCGCTTTATGCTAAGCACACGGATTAATTGTGTGGGCGATGTTTGGGTATGTGGGCGTGGCAGAGCTACTCATCCAATGCGAAAAGCAATTCAATGAGCCATGGTGGGGTCGGCTCTAGGCCCGTGTGGGTAGGCTCTGGGACCCTGTCTGGTCTTTATTTGATATACAAGTAAATGCGAACGAATTACGACAAAAAAACAAAAAAAAAATTGACAGGCACGCAGAAAACTAATCCGCTTTAGCAGCTACTGGGCTAGCCAGCTCAGCGCCAGTGGGTCGCTGGCGTCCGATTTTGATTTAATCGACGTCGGCGTCAATAAAATGAAATCAGTAATCGGTGCGACGCACAGCTAGCCGGGCCAGAGAGACCCTCGATTCCCTGGGCAACAGAGAGCAGAGCGGAGATATCGAAAATTACAGCATGCCAGCCGAGATCCCAGCCAGCGCCAACTTGGCCAAGATTGTCAATATCATTGGCTCGAATGTGCGCGAAGTGCCATCGGAGCCGGCGAGCGAGACACCACCAGCACCAGCACGACGTGAGCCAATCTCCGTCATCGGCAGCTCACGGAGCGTGCGTTTGGCCAGCAGCGGAACCCCTCGCAGGGCCGCCTACTGCTACGTGCCCAAGTCGCCGCAGCTGGAGGAGATTGTGTTTGCCGAGCCGACATGCTCGGAGCGATTCGCCCGCTACTTTGTGCTGGTCATCTATCTGTGCGGTCTCTGCAGTCTCGGCTTCTTTCTCTCCATCTATCACCTCTTCTTCTGGGACTCGCGCATGCCGCCCGTCTTCAAGGGCCAAAAGAAGCCGCCGGCCTTTGGCTAATTGCTAGCCAGCTGACCATATTGGTAAGTGAATGGCGGGCGGGCGAGGAGGAGAGTGGTGAAGAGACGAGCAAACTCGAACTTTTTCTAGAGATAGATACTTTGTATAGAGCTCGGTGATAAATGAAGGGGTCTGAAGAGAGTTTGAGAAGCGAAGATTGATCAACTTTTGAGCTATACATCTATGGGGGCACGGGGAAGAAACAGACCATGGGGAAACTAAGAACTAAGAACAATTGCTCATATTAGACTAAAATTCAGACTATTATACAATTTTTGTATAGAACCTGTAAAGAAATTTAAGCTGATTATATGAAAATTTCTGGTTATGAGGGAGATCTTCATAAAAAGATTTACTCGATTTAAGATACACATGAAATGCAAATCAGGTTATAAAGGAGATCTTCATAAAAAGATTTACTAGATTTAAGAGAAATATTGCATGAGTATTGCAAATGAAGGTTCAAATCTCTGTTGGTACAGTCTTAAATTAGCTAAAGCTTTATTTACCTCTACCTAAACTTTTGAGCTATATGTACATCTATGAGGGCAAGGGGAAGAAACAGACGATGGGGAAACTAAGAGCACTACTCATTCACATTGGGTTCCCTTTGCTCATATTAGAATAAAATTCAGACTTTTAAACAATTTATATTGTATATAGAGTATGTAAAGAAATTTAAGCTGATTATATGAAAATTTCTGGGTATGAGGAAGATCTTCATAAAGAGATTTACTCGACTTAAGAGAAATATTGCATGAGTAATGCAAATGAAGGTGCAAATCTCTGTGGATATAGTCTTAAATTAGCTAAAACTTTATTTACCTCTACTTAAACTTTTAAAGGACAGAGCGAAAGAGAAAGAGAGAGGTAGAGTGAGCGTATACAGGGTAGCTGCTAGTCGTGCAACTGCAACTCTAGCAAACTCCTATTTTACTCTGCCTTACTTTCCACTTGATTGATGGTAACTCTCTATTGCGTATAAGAGTGACTTATACACAACAGCGATACCGTTAGCTGCCGTTAAAGCGTCGACTATTTTTGAGTTTGTTTGCCATTCAAGGTGGCGCGACACCTGCGAAGAATCCTTGAGGGCCATTTGCCAACAATGTTGCACTCGCTGTAGCTGGGCAACCGAAATGGTGCGAGGGGGTGGCAAATGGGCTTTGAGGGAGGTGGGCAGAGTGGCTGGGGCACTGGGCGTTTGGCCTACATTTGCGCCAGCCACATGATGAATGTGTGTGCGAGAGTGTGTGCCTATGTGTGTGTGTGTGTGTGTGTGTGTGTGTGTCGGTCGCTTATACAACAAAATCAATGGCCAACCGCTGCAATCGTTCGATGCCCGCTCTCCGTCTCTCTCTCACTCTCTCTCTCTCTCTCAGGCGGCCACTCTCTGGCGCGCACCCTCTCTCTCTCAGTGTTCTGTCTCTCTCTCTCTCTCCATCTCTGTTTGGCGCGCGCAGTTGCATTCGCTTCGTTGTCCTAGTGACCTAGTTGCAGATTATTAACCTCCAGTTAACGACAAACGGATTTGCCGAATTGAAATGGAAAACAAGTAAAAGTTTTACACAATGCACAAAGGATATACTCATCGTATACCCTGTAAAAGCTAATTACTAAAGACAGGTGGCGTAGACAGGTAGACATAATGGAGTAGAGGAGTGTACGAGTATAAGAGCTTATAAATATCAGATAAAATAGAACCTACCTCTAGTCTATGTATACGAATTTTCAAAGATCTCTGCGTGAAAATGTTACCTAACAGAGCTTTAACAGCTCAGATGTGCATCATGTTACAGCTGATATAAGAGTGTTGGCAAATCTACTAAAGCTGCAGCCGAAACTACCCTCTGCTGTCGCGTTTGTAGGGCATTGAAAAGCAATAAAGCAGCGCATGGCGCTTGCTGGCGAAAGGTGCGCATGGGGCAGGTGCTATTGCGGTTGCAGGACATCCCAGCAGCGAAAGTGCACAGCGCACAGCAACAATGCACACACACACACACACACACAGACAGAGATAGACACCTACATATACTTATACACAACAGTATAGTTGAATTCGCCTTGCCCACCGTTGTCCTTCGCACAGAGCCGTCTGCGAAGGTTGTCCCGGACACGGTCACACTCAAAAGTCAGATGCAGCGCAGCGACTGCAACGACTGCAACGATTGCAGCGACTGCAGCGCCGCTAGATGGCGGAGGATGCCAATTAAATTGTCGAAATGTCTGGAACATGATTTCATTTGAATTATGGACGAATGCGCGCTTTGTTGCGGTTTTTTCTTCAGTTTCTTGAATTATTTATTTATTAATCATCTATTTTTGCTGGCAAATTGAGGCGCGCATTTGTATTTCCGCGTGCAATAAACAACAAAAACGAGCGTGGGCGTGAACGTGGGCGTTGCGCTCTTGACACATAAAGCAGTGACAGGGCCTCAAGACGTGCCGATATGCTGCCTCAGTCACTGTCGCAGTCGCTGGCGCTGCCGGCGTCGCTGTTGCAGTCACTGCTCGACTGGCTGGCTATGTTTTTGTTTTGGGAATGCCAGCGGCGCGTGCCAGTTGCATTTAAAAACAACAACAACAACAACAATAACAACAACAAAAGCAACAGCAAGACAGCTAACGGACCGCATCCAGACGTCGCGGTCGCCACTGACGTCGACGTCGGCAAATTCGTATGTAAATGAAACGAAATGAGCAGATGCAGGCAGCGAGCGAGCGGCTGACAGCTGGCGTAGAGTAAACAGGCATTTTATGAATGAAATTATATGCGAAAAATGCCGAAAAAGCGCAACGCAATCTAGAGGATCGCAGAGGTTAGAGTGAGAGAGAACGAGAACGAACAAGAGAAGAAGCGTGAGAGGGAGTGTGAGTCGGGCGACAGGCTGACACGAAGTCTAAGCCGAACGAAGCGCAGCAGCAGCAGACGACGAGGAGCTGGCGATGCCGATGACGATGACGATGCCGCGCTGCCGCTGCCAATGGCTCCTGCACTGACAGAGGCAGCAGCTGAAGCAGCAGCAGCAGTAGCAGCAGCAAAGGCTCTGCTAACGGCAAAAGCTTTTTGCGCTTGGGCGTCATTTCGCTTGCATTCGCTCGACGCGTCGGTTGGCAGCTTTTTTTTTGGGTGACTGCGACTGTGAGAGCGACGACTGTTCCAACTTGAACTGTCAACAATAACAATAACAAACTACAAGAACTTTGCATTTATGTACAGCAACAGCAACAACAAGTAGACTAACAAATTGCACTGCCACAAAGAAGAAAAAACTTTAAAAACTTTAAATATACATATACATCCCATGTATGTATGTATGTATAGACAAATATGTATAGAAAATGAAAGTGCATAATAACAATAAATAATTTACAATCAAAAATTTATAAAACTCAGCTACAAAATCAAAATAAAGAAAAAAAACTGAAAAACAGACACAACGAAAATCAAAAGAGAAGCAGAGCAACAAGAACAGTTAAACAACGAAAATGAATTCCAAAGTCAATTCGCTGGAGGAGAAAGTGAAACTGCCGCCAACGGAGACAATAAGCCGTTGCTATCAGCCGCAGCAGAGCAACCGTAAGGTCATACGCATCCTAACGGTAGCCGTCTATGTGCTGTGCGTATCGCTGGCGGCCATCATGCTATCGCTCTATTATATTTTCATATGGGATCCGACCATACGGCCCTTCGTCACCAAGGCCAATCAGTGCGGTAAGTGTTTTGGCGGCGACGTCGGCGGCGGCGTCTAACGGCAAATGCCCAAAAAATGCCATTAAATAAGTTAAGGATTAACTGTAACTGAAACTGCACTAGTTTTGCAAAGTATGTGGGTATGTGGGTGAGGCGGAGCAGATGGGGCGAGGGGAGCTGTGGGTGCCTTTGGGCAATGGTCAAGTAGACGTGGAAAAGAGGGAGGGGTGGCGGGAAGGGTTCCGCCGCTAAATCAAACTGGGACACAGGCTTTCAACTAGGCTACAGCTAAATTGCATATTACACACACACGCTCGCTGGCACTCACACACACACACACACACACACACATTAACTAGCTGGAGCGAGAAGTAGATGAGGCGTTATAACAATAACGGTAACGGCTCGGAACGCTTTCGGTTCTCGTGCGCTTCTCGTTGTGAAGGGCGTGAGAGTTTTGCTTGCATGTTCTAGCCGTTCTTCTTCTTCATCGTCTTCGTCTTCGTCTTTCTCCTTCTTCCTTCTCTCCTTGTGTTATTCTTGTTGCTGCTGTCCTTTTACAGTTTTGTAAATCAACTTGAAATTGGGTCAATGGGCTATCTCTCATGCGTGTGTATGTATGTGTGTGTGTGTATGTGTGTGTGGCAGTGCCTGCATAGCTTTTGCGGTTCAATAAACGCTTTGTCACGACCCATGAAATTGGCTCAGCCCGAAAAATTTGCCCAATACTTGACCCAACACTAATGCATTATCATAAAGCAGGCCAATGTGTGGTTAGGAAACATCGTATCAAAGTGCCGTTAAAGTTTAGATATCAAATTTTATGGGTCTGCAGGGTGATTGCAGGCAACTCGGGATTGAGTCGTCTATAATATATATTAAAGTTCCACAATATTTATTTATTGTGTATAACTGGATGATATCAGTCGTTATATAGAGCTTAAATAATATTATATTTTATAGAACACTTTGAAGTTGAAAGAGAATTCATTTACATATGTATATAATCTCGGCTTCAACAGCTGAACCTATTGATTCTCAGATGATCTTATATTTACACACTTATACACACTCTTATACGAGCTCATTTTAGCACAAACTTAACTAGATTGAAGCTGTAATAAACCAGTTCTGAAGTCCACTCCAGTCAGCCTATATTTTACTTTTTTTTAAAGATCAGTTTGGCCTAGTATTAGCTGTGCCCATTTTTAGCCATTCCTATTCCAATTAATACAATTTAGAAATGGTAATAAAATCCAGTTTATTTGCTAGATCATTACAATGATTGAAAGATAGCTTTAATATTTGCTCAAAAACACATGTAGCTGCACAATAAACTTGACCAAAGTCTATGGTAAGTTTCTGGCTATTATTGAACTCCTAAGAAGCCGACTGAAGAAAGTGGTTATGCTAGTTCATAATATAATCGATAAATATCGATCTTGCATATGTGCTCTTGAGCATGAAGTTGACCTATCGAATTATCAGTTTTTCAATAAATATAGATTATAGCGTAGCATATCGATAAACATAGTTGCGTTATAAGTGAATCGATAATTATCGATGTTGACTGATTAGCATTTCGTGGCTCAAAGCTTAAAGAACTTTAAGAGCTCGTCCTCTGGCATAATAAGACTTATTGATTGGAACAATTTCCTTTGTATATGCACAAGAAAAAATGTATTTAATGATTGATCGATAACATATTTTAGTATATATGCATATCTTAATGCCAAGAAGCACAGCAAACTCTTAGAGAGTAAACTTCCATCATATCGCTTTACCTGATATTTTATTATATTATTGACATCATTCCATTTTGCTTGCAGACAAAATTGTGATACCCGAAAAGATTGCCATACGCCTATTAAACTCATCGGAAGTCACCGCAGAGCAGTTCTACAAGCACATCCTCGAACAGTATCGCATCCTGAACCACTTGCAAATGCAGCGCCAGCAGTTCCTGCAGAAGCAGCATCTGCAGCTGCAGCAGCTGGAGGCAAGCAATCGCTTCCAGGAGGTGTTCGCCACGGCCACCATCTATCAGGCGCATCAGCAGCCACGTGATCCGCTCCAGAAGTCAAAGGCTCTACAGGCTGCCACGTCGTTATCCTCCTCCTCCTCCTCCTCCTCCTCGTCCGCCTCCCTCTCATTGGCCAACAATAGTAGTGGCAGCAGCAGCAGCAGCAGCAGCGACCCGTTTCGCCTAGAGCCACCAGTGATTGGGGACAGCTCGTCGCACCACCTGCCCCTCGTGCTGGACACTTCACCACCGGCAGAGGGCAACATCCAGCATGTGAAGCGGAAGACTCATCGTGGCCATTATAAGCACCATCGCAGTCGTGCCGGTGCCAAGAAGCTGGCGGAGCGAACCGGTGCCACTGCAACGGTCAGCAGCACAGCCAGCGAGCAGCCAACGGTGGCTGCACCACACGGCTACATGGATGCCCCACTCAATCCGGCAGCCGGCACCATTCTGCAGCAACCGCTGCAGCTCTACACATCCATGCCCATACCGCTCATCCTCAGTCCGAGCAATGGGGAGAAGCGCCTGTCGCACCACAGCCACAGCCATGCGCACGGCGAGCGGCGGGGCATGGGCGGTGCACAGGCCAGACGACGCGCCACCACAGCCACCGTATCGGGCTACGATGCGCAGACCTACCTCAATCCGTTCCTCACCGGTGAGCTCATCTTCGAGAAGTAAGCAGCTGGCTGACCCACACTCGCACCCACACACACACACACACACGTACACACACCGACACAGACACACTCACACTCGCTGAGAGTTACACGTTGAACATTTGGCCAAAGTTTAGCTAAAGATACTTTACTTTAAGCATCTGGCACCGGCACCGGATGAGATGGGAATCGAGACTCGTACACTGTCATATCACACAGTTATAGCCAGACTTTTACTACTACAACTACAACTACTTGCACTCTGGCAGATGCATCTGATATGACTATAAATATATACATATATATCATATGTGTATATATCAGAGTTGACTCTTCAAGTTTCAAGTTGAACTCTATATTTAAATGGCAAATGATTTGATATAATTGAGCAGCTGACAAAGTTCCTTGTAAAGTTCATGTTAGTTGAGCTTCTTCACAGAGGAATTTTCAATTGCAGTCGGGTCAACAAGTTAACAGAGAGTTGACATATGTTAACAGCCACATTGACTAGCTTAACAGCCAGGCTGGGCTTCTTCCACTCAAGCAGCTGCCTGTTAACATGAACTACGATAGTCATGCTCATTGTAGAGCAGACATTGATGTTGAATGGATTTGAAATGGAATTGTGCTCAAAGAAATTCTACAAGAGCTCTGGTAAAGGTCATAGACGATGCACTGCACGGCACCTAGCGACACCTCCCACTACGTATATACAAATATATATCCAAATATTTCAAAGAAAACAACTATATATATATATGTATGTATATTTATATATAGAGGGGCTTTACTTAACACTGATTCCTACAGATATCCTACACACACACACTCACACAGAGAGACACACTGGCAGCACACGGCATACGCAATACTCAATAATAGACATAGATGATATATATAGTGCATGCGATAGTATCGCATGCGAACGTTAGTTAGGTACTTACTGACATATGTACCTAGACGGGACCCACTCCAATAGAGCGTCACTCACAGCGGCAAGCAAACGACACCCCACCTAGGACACTGCTTTAAGGCAACAACAATAACTAGTTAAAATCGAAAGATATATAGTATATATACATACGTATATGGTATAATCACACTCACTAAATATCACACACACATATAGTATACACAGCTATATGTATATGTATATCACTCACGGCATCAAAGATTTCGGAGAGGGTTCGGCTTGGCATGAATATTTCATACATAGATGGATTACAATTGTTAACGATGTTTATACGATATTTGTATATAATATAACACCAAGTGCACAGCACACATATAACTAACTACATACATATATAAGCAGAAAAGAATATATACATATATAAATGTGGGAACTACAATCTTCAGTTCAGTTACGCATAGAAATTTTGAGTGGGCAAAAATCGAATCATTTGGTTTTTTTTGTCGCGCTCTCAAAAGTATGCTACAAAATTATATTTACGAAATGGAATTTTCAAATAGTAGTGCCGGTTTTTTTTTAAAACACTCAAACGATATATAAAATGTTGGATATATGAATTTGTTTTGCATTGAGATTTGCGTAGCTTCGTAATATTATAGAAAGACAAATTTTGAATTGAATATATAAATATATGAATTAATATATGATATATATAGTACTGTAGAACTTAGAATCAAATTTCAGCGAAAAGTTTTGATAAAGTGTTTGTTCCTAAAAAAAAAACCGAGAATTTCCATTGCAATTAAAATGAAAATGAAAGAAAGAAAAGAAAATTACTATAAATATTTGGGTACAGTTTTTATTCGAAAAAAAAAAGTTATTATAATTGAAATGTATTAAAATTTAGAAAAAAAAACCTATATATATATATAAATGTATACCTTTTCTATCATTTTTTTTTTTTTCATGTGTGCTTACAGTACTTGAATTCTCTCTATATATACATATATATATATCTCGATTTGAACTTCGAATGTCGTCTTTGCTTGGCTGGAGATTTTCTAGTTTTTGGTTTTATGCTCTACATAGTGTACCCCATATACATATATATAACATATAGCACATGACACATGATATATGATATATGACCTATGACATATGACATATAACATTTCCATTTCCGTATATGTATACGAGAACTATTTACATATTTGTATAATTGATAAATTGCTGTGGCGCACCTTCATAATAAGAAAAGGAACTGCAAATGCGCACCCAAAAAAAAAAAAAAACAATAAAAAATATAAAAAATAAAATAAAGCCTTAAGAAATAAACCCTATATCATATACCAAAATCGCAATCAAAAAACCAGAGAAAAAAATTAAAAAAAAAAAAAAAAAAAAAAAAAAAGAAAAAATGTTTTTACACAAAAAAAAAATCAAGTTGAGGCAAATAATTCTAAAAAATAAATAAAAACAATATGGCTTTACAATATAGAATTGTATCCTGTAACTGTATTTAAAACTGAATAAAAAATCAACAAATAAACTGCATATGAAATAAATACACAAACACACAGACTCACACTCACACACACACACATACACGCATGTGTACTTATGTACTATGTGTGTACTTAGTGGAAAATGAACGAATCATTTTGGCAATAATAAAGCATAGAACGAACTATAAAACAAACAACAACAACAACAAGTCGTTTCATTAACAGTATAGAGCAACAAGTAGTCGACACAGAGATACCCTGGAAATCTCGCTCGATTGAAAGGAATTCATAATGAAAGCAAAGATTGAAAAGAACGAACTACAGAAACATCTGTATCAAATTGAAAGACCTAAATGTATTTAATACTAATATATCCACTATATCTATCTACTCATCATACATATAACAACTCTGTCTATCTGGGTAATAGAGCCCGCCAAGCACCCCTTACAGAGTATGGACAATCAAAGTATTTCTGTCTTGCTTTAATGAGAATTTAATTAGCCTTACAGCTCACATAAAACCCATTGTTCTTCTATATTAATTAGTGGAACAGCTCGTCGAGTTCTAATCAGCGAAACTTCACTTTTACACAATTTAATTACAAGCAGGCTCGCAACCGGGAAGTCTTTTCATTTATTAGCCCATTTTTCATGGGGTTCAACTCACCGAACTCGCGATCACAATCTATCACATAGCCCGGATTATCCATGGCACTAGATCACTTATGTCTATATATGTATATAAATATATTCGAAGCACGTTTAAAAAGAAATAAATGGGTTTCAGAGACTCGACTAATCGCAAAATCACTTGTATATACTCATAGATATACGTCTAGACATATGCCCAAGTATATCTCAATTTTAGATAAGTTGAATTTTCACCGTTGCGACGGCTGTCGTTACCAAAATTCGACTGATACAGCCCGAGAGCAGTCAATGCCACTTTAAGCATAAGCATTTACCATCTGGTAACACGTTCTGCGTTCTATCTGGTATTATTATATGGGCCAATTACAACGGTGTTCTGTAAGGCGATGGATGAAGAGCAATCAAAGACCTAAGATAAATAGACATTGAGGAGTAAAAGTCGACTGGTTGGGTATGTCAGACGGGGCAGATAGCTCGCTTACCGAATGGAATCCAATGGATGATTGAACTGATTAGTTGAGTGATTGATGACTCTGCATTCAATCTGGATTACATCTATTGACTGACTAACTGATTGCTGAGCGGATTGATTGATTGATAACTAACTGACTGGTGAATGATTGATGAATGCTTGATGAAGTATTAATGATTGATTCACGATTGATTGACGATTAATTGATAATTGATTGACGATTGATTGATGATTGATTGATGATTGATTGGTGAGAAATTGGTAGTTGATTGATGATTGATTGACAATTAATTGGTAGTTGATTGACGATTGATTGATGATTGATTGGTGAGAAATTGGTAGTTGATTGATGATTGATCGATGATTTATTGGTCATTGGTTGATGATTGATTACAGAATGATTGATGATTGATGGGTGATGTATGAATGATTGATTACTTAATCTGCTACATATCTGTATATATAACATAAGTTGTCTGATTGACTGACTGACTGATTGATTGTTATATATTCCGATTGACTGAAGGGACTGAATTGACTGACAAAATGACCAAAATTATCCCCAGGAATATGAATCAATCGAATGACTAACCGAGCCACAAAAGTGGGTATACGAAACTACCAGAATGATTAAATCGGATTTTATATATGAAATGCGGGCAGTAATTTCTCTTTCAAATCAATATTGGATATCATATAGCAATAAAAATAACTGATTGAAGGTCTTACCTGTCAACCACTCTCCCCCAATGCATCTAGGGTATTTGCAGAATGGAAAAAACTCTTGGCCAAAATACCGTAATTATGGTTTAACATGGCGCTATAAAATAACTTAAACAACCCACTCAGATATCGCTAAGAATAACTGCAAGTCAGCGCACGAGTGGGCGTGGCCAGCGCTCGCAGTCTGTTGGCGGACGGCGCACGAGGTGCTTGATTAGGCCCCACCACACGTCTAACTAAATATGTATTAATGCTCAAATAAAAGACGTCAAAACAAATAGGAAACTCCGAATAGTGCAAGGCCCTAGCGCAAAGGAATTCTACTCAAGAGTCGTAAGTACAAGTAAAGGATATCCAAGGATTGGATCCTCGTTATATATTCAATATATTATTGCATTTGAATTCAATCTTGATTTTGAGTTATTTATTTACACACAATTAAAGATAATTTAGAAGTCAAACATGGAGAAGTCGAACATTAGATAGACGTCGAACAAGCAGAGATTGTTACAGTATTAGCCTAGGGATCTTAAATAATATACATACATATATGCTTATCTCAGACCTTTTGATATTTGCATTTTAGAAAATGTTTTATATTGACAAATCTGGGTTATGATATATGCATGTATATACCTATATAAATCCACTTTGATTGGTTTACTGTATAATGAGTGCATCTATTACACAGTTATTTAAGGAAACCTTAAGCAAAGCAAGCACAACAAGTGCTGGCAATGCCTTACAATTATGTCGTTGATATATAGTTCTATATATATGTACATACAGATATATGCATGTATATAGGATACACAGACTTTGATTTAGATAAACAATGTTTTCTTTGTCTATTGATAAACATATCGCTCAACTTCTGTCTCGCTCACACACGCTCTGCTCTCTCCCTGAAGCTCTTTGTACCTTACTCTTCTTATCTGTGGGCACTTTTCGACACAATATCAAATATATACATATATTTGGATATTATTTATGCCTAGATTTATATATATGTCTAGATTTTGATAGCTGTCGGCCTAAGCGGCTTTCTTTAATGCTACAATAGAACAAAAGTCGAGTCTTCTGTAGAAGTGTGCCCAAATATTATTTACACCGAGAGCTAAACTAGATTCTATATAAACGTATATATTCATATAAACATATATATATATATCCTATGTTGTTTTACAGTTATCTCTCTAATGCAGCAACATAAGTTGGTAACAGCGTTACATAGATCGGCATTATCTAGCTGTATACCAAGCGGTAAACATTTATGACTCTTTTCCTAGTTTTGTCAGCTGAAACTAGAAGAAGACGAAGCAGAAGAAGTTGATGAAGCTGGTGAGACAGAGCAATTGCTATCTCATTTAACGATCAACGCTCGATATCAAGATGTTGTCAAGCTAAACATATTCCGGAATCTGACAGTGCAATGAGGATAAAGTGCCTGGTAAAGCTAATGGCAAATAGTTAAAAACTCACATTCGTTTCTATACAAATCAACGTTTATTAGAAATTTATCCTTTCCATAGTCTAGTTGCAATGCGTCTGGGCATTGCGATCAGTAAATATATTTGTATTTTGGTCTAAAACAGAAAAATAAATTGATGCAAGGTTAAAAGCCAACTACATAAACATTAAATAAATGGCCTTTTTAGCTAAACGCTTAAGTTTAAATCGAATTCAAAATAATTAATATAATTAAAATAATATAAGAACTATGATGGAAACAAAAAGGGAATTGATAGAAAACGCCAAGAGAAAGAGACACGCCCATAGACCGTTGCTTGAAAGCTAAATATACAAATATATAATTAATATATATATATATATATATATTCATATGCATATACATACATATATATATACCATGTTTAAGCTGGAATTTGTACAGCAGAAAAAGTAGATATATGACGCATCGATGTGCTACGAAAAGCTGCGCTTCGAATGGTTTTCATTTATACAATGGATTTATAACTATTTGGAAGATATATATAAATATTTTATATATATCCATATATATACGTGTATTTATATGAGTATATATATACACATATATATGTACAGTTAAACATAGAGCTAGGTGTATGCACACAATTCGAGCAGATCGAAGCTAAAAGCTTCCAACGACTAGGATCAACCGGGGGCTGGGCGGGTATTACAATGCTTTCTCTATTTTATAAATGTGTGCGTGTGTGTGTGTTGATTAACTCAAAATAGAAATGAAGCGACAGAGAGAGAGACAGAGACAGAGACAGAGACAGAGACAGAGAGAGAGAGAGAAAGCTCTCAGCATCAGGCCCTGCGCCGCAGTCTGCAATCTTCTGCATTTCATTCATTTCCAAGGAATTGGTAAATGTTCATCGCGAAGTCTATTTTCATTGGTTGATTGGCTCAGAATTGAAATGGCGGCGCATCACGGCAGGTGTGCGCATCCATTGGCGTTATGACCACGTGCAGGGAGAGCGTATTCCGCTGACTGCCCGTCAAGTGTGGACTCAAGTTGCGGGAGGTCTGCTCCAGCTCGTCGAAGGGTAGCAGATTATCCAAATTGATGACACGCGCATCATCCGAAAAGTATTCCGTGCGATGCACCACGGTGCGTATGTGCTCAATCTTGTTCTGCACGCCCACAATCAGCACGGCAACCTGTGAATTCGATATTTGCATTAAAGTAGGCATCTCTGATGCATGATAACCATTTGGGGTGGATGTCTACGCACCTTGAAGCGCTCCTCGCCAATATTTTTAAGCTGGCACGTGACACGCAGTCGCACCGTGTTGATCGCACAGCCGGGCACGTCCTCGCCCCAGACCATTTTGGCCTTGTTGTACTTGACGCCACGCGGAAAGAACTCGATTTCCCAGATCATGCAGCCGTCTTAATGGAGAATCAAATTCAATTTTAATAAGGGCAAAGATACCAATTGGAAAGTAAATATTAAATGTTTTTGCACCAAACGCTAAACATTTCAATTGGAATGCTTCTATATGCTGCCTTTATATGATGCATACAGTCGAGTAGAGTGTGGAGAGTAGAATGGAACATAGAGCAGATCTATGTAGAGTAGCTCTACTCTACACTTTACCTTCTCGATCCACTCTACTTTAGTCTGTTGAATTCTATTCCACCCTACTCTATCTTCCATTCTAATTTATGCTGCACTCTTCTCTACGTTCCACTCTACTCCACATTCCACTCTACTCTACGTTCCTCTCTACTTCTGTTCTACGTTAACTCTACTCTTCGTTCCACTCTACTCTACGTTGCACTCCACTCGACTTTCCACTGTACTCTACGTTCTACCATACTCTACGTTCCACTCTACTCTACGTTCCACTGTACTCTACGTTCCACTCATCTCTACGTTCCACTCTTCTCTACGTTCCACTTTACTCTACATTCCACTGTACTCTACTTTCCACTCTTCTCTACATTCCACTCTTCTCGACGTTCCACTCTTCTCTACGTTCCACTCTTCTCTACGTTCCACTGTACTCTACGTTCCACTCTACTCTTCATTCCACTCTACTCTTCGTTCCACTCTACTGTACGTTTCACTCTACCCTACTCTATTTTACTTGACGTTCTACTCTAATCTTGTCTTGTATATTCTACTCCATTCTCTTCTAGGTTTCACTCTATTCTACTTTATGTTATGATCCACGTTCTACTCTACTTTTACCTTCTCCACTCTACATTCTACTCCATGCTAAATGCTACTAGATCTACACAAATAGTTACACATATATAGATGGAAAACACTCACCGTCCTTGGTCTCGGCAATGTGTCGTTGCGAAAAGAAGCAGGTGACATAGTTTTTGTAATCCTCGATCTTGTCGAAGTTGTGCACTTTGATGCCGAGGCTCCACGTGTCGTTCCAGTAGAGGCGCGGAGTGAATTGCAATTGGCCGCCTTCAGTTGCGCGAACCTCGCGCACGCGATCCTCCTGCCCGGACTGATAGCTCAGGCCGATGGCGATGCGATCGATCAGAAATTTCTTGTGATATTCCATGAAGGGAACGACGAGTGAAAGTTCTCGGGGCGTCATCATGGCGAAGCGTATGTGCGTGACAGTCTGCTCGATTAGCTCCATGAAGGTGCTGGCCTTCTTCTCGGCACTGAGGCCGGTCTGGGCTTCGATTAGCTTACGGCGATGCAGCAGCCACGTCTGCAGAATGCTAAACAGTTTGTACTCGCTGGTGACAACGATGTCGTTCTGCTGCAGCAGCAGCTGCAGTATAGCCGGATCCATTTCCACAAAGTCCTTGGACTCGGCCACCAGCTCCAAATTGTTTTTGAGGAAACGCTTTAGCGTTTCGGTGAGATCATTGTGCGTGGGCGTGAACGAGAGCGTGTACTGCAGCCAGGAGACCAGGAAGCCATTGGTCGCCGCCTTGGCCACATGCTTCGTCATATAGCCGATGCACAGCTCGATGAGATCCCGCACATTGTACTTGTCGGACAACGCCAGCATCGGCATCACCGTCTGCAGTGTCACCTCGATCTGGCCCACATACAGATACTTGATGAACTGTGGAAACACGGCCGAGCAGCAGGCTTCCTCGTGCAGCTCAATCACGTGCTTACTGCACTCGTTCCACTGCGGGTTCATCAGCATCACCTGAAAGACATCGCTGCTCGCACAGAGTATGACACGGTGCGCCGGATACTCCTTGCCATCCACCAGCAGAACAATGTCCGACATCAGCTGTTCCGCATACATGTGGGCGATCTTATTGAGCACGCTGTTCGGGTCAATCATCTGCTATACACATAAACGCATACGAAAATATCAGTTTAGATTTGTTGTTAAAATTCTGTTTGGGGGATTACGGGGCTAGTTGCCATTTGCATACTCACGGTGCTCGCTCCATCTAGAGCTTCGTCTGTTTCCAGGCACTTGCGCCGCTTGGCGTCCTGGTCATCGTTGAGGGCTGTGCTGCCCTCTGTTCCATTGTTGGCTGCAGCTGCTGCCGCTGCTGCTGGGGATCCATTGGTACCACTGTTGGGCTCTGCAGCAGCTGGACTAGCGCCCGCACCAGCTGCAGCTGCTGCAACAGCAGGAGCAACCGCAGCGGCTGCTGCACCACCAGCTGCCGCAGCAGCGCCAGCAACACCAGCGGCTGCTGCTGCTGCTGCAACGACACCACCACCGCCACCACAGGCAGCAGCTCCACCAGGGGCGGCCACACCGTTACTATTTGCGTTCATAAAAATCTTTGCACTCGCTTCTGTTTACCTCATGGTAAACACAAGCTGACACAAGCTCCGTTACTAGTCCAGGTACAATTGATTCGACAACTCTTGCAGAAAGCTTGTGTTCGTCTTGTAGGACATGCCCAATTGGTGAATCTCAGTTTCAAGCAATATAAAACAACAAATTGCGTTTGACAGTGCCACCGTGTGACCGTTTTGACTGTACTATAACAAAACCCTGAAGAGCAAGGCACACAAAAATACCGAACGCTAGCAAAAATTTAGTATGTAATTTGGAATATAATAAAATTCTGTAAATTAAACGAAAATTAAAATATAAATAAAAATTAAAATTACACCTACAGCATTTTTCTCACAGGACATTTGTAAGTTATTAAAATGAAATGAATACCATTGTGCTTAAATTTCTATGAGAATGAAAAAAATACCAAAACACAGTGCCAGAAACACTGCCAAAATGGAAGTCTTTAGCGAAGACAAAAACCAAAATACCAAACTACAAGAAGCAAATATATAAAACCGCAATTTTTCAAATGAGTTTTACACTACGTAAAAAATATTATTAAAAATGTTTATCTGAATATCCGAAAAAAATATTCGTCACATATTGCTTCGTCCAAAAAATATTAAACGTCAGTTGCCAGATGTATCGCAATATAATAAAAGATTAAAGTCCTTATTGTCTTTATTGGATTCTTTAATGTATATAAATTTGAAGAATTGTTTTAAAACAAGAAATTGTATATGACAAACAACAAACGGAACAAAATGGTTTTGAAAGTCTCAAGTTGAGATCAAATATGCCAGATTTCTCTACTAATGTTATATGTATACATTCTTATTTCTCTACATCATAATAAATTAATATTAAATTCAGAATACAATATCAAAGTTGTAAGAGAAATTCATCAATAAAATTGCAATTGAATATTTGGCACATGTGAACAAAACTCTTCAAAACAAAACAAATACAAATAAAAAAAATAAAAAAAAAACAGAGGAAGCTAATGCACAGCAAACAGAATAGAACAGTCACAAACACAAAAAGATTTACATTTGTGGCGTACATTGAATTGTTTTAGTTTTGATCATTTAAATTTAATTAGATTTTATTATTATACTTTCTGATTGATTTATGTTCTTTCTATCTTTCTTTTTGTCTAAATGGATGACTACATTTCCCTCACAGAGGCTGCAGCTGCATTCGATTTTCTTTATGACATTCACATGTAATTCCGTATCTAGATTTGTTCATCATTTGATGTAGATGATGTTGGTGTTGGTGTTGGTTTCGGCTTTCATGTTGATGTACAGCTCAGAGCTCATCGTGTCCAATGAACTTCTTGACGTACGCCTGCAGCTCTGGCAGCGAACGACTGCCCTCGTACTCGTTTTGGCGCTTGCCGTCTTTGTAGAGGAAGAGCGTCGGATAGCCCTCGACCTGCTGGTCGACGCAGATCTGCTTGTTGTCCGGCGAGGTGCAATCGACCTTGGCAATCACAATGCCCACCGTCTCTGTGGCCAGCTGCTCCCAGGTGGGCTGCAGCTTCTGGCAGTGTCCGCACCACGGCGCATAGAACTTGACGAAGGCAATGCCATCGGCGATGGCCTTCTCGAACTCCTCGCTGCCATTTAGCTGCTGCACCGTTTGCTTCTTGGCCTCATCTTGCGCTTCTTTGGTCGCATCGTCCAGGTCGTTGTTGTTGGTGCTGGGAGCACCGATCATCTTCTCCACGTAGCTCTTCAGCGTGGCCAGGTCACGGGCGCCGGCATATTTCTCAATCTTCTTGCCATCCTCGATCCAGAGAAGTGTGGGATAGCCCTTGACCTCGAAGTCCTGGCAGATGCTGCGATATTGTGTGCAATCGATTTTCGAAATCGTTACATCCGGCTCCTTGATCAGCTCTGAGGCCAGCTCCTCCCAGGTGGGAGCCAGGCGCTGCACAGTCGAAATCAATTAATATGTGCGCAGGAGTAAATTGCAAATGGATTCTCTTACCTGACAATGGCTGCACCAGGGTGCAAAGAACTTGACAAAGTGATTGCCGGTGGACACATGCTTGGCGAACGTGTCCTCGGTCAGGTCAACGACCTTGCCCAAATTGGGATTCCTGTCACCGCCCTCCTGCAGCTGCTGCTCACTCAGATCCTCCTCGGCTGGCGTATTGAGCTCCTGGTTAATGAAATCCGTAATGGCGGGCAGATCCCGTGTGCCCTTGAATTTGACGGACTCCTTTTCGCCCAGCTTGAAAAGACGCAGCGTCGGATAGCCGGTCACCTGATGATCGGCACATAGCGTCTGGTGCTTGGTGCAGTCCACCTTGGCAATGGTCACCTTCGGCTCATCAATGTTCATGATCTCAGCCAGCTGCTCCCACAGCGGGTGCAGACGCTTGCAATGGCCACACCTGGAAGGTAAGTTGTACAATCGATTGAGATGTTGCCGAGTTCGAAAGTTACTCAAAGTCAATTCGTTGTCGAAATATATTGTAAACCAAAAAATCATGAAATACAGTTCCACTTACATACATATATTATCGCCTTCATAAAATTAAATTAGCTTTTGTTCAACTATTGCAAGTCGTGTGTTTTATTTTGTTTCTAAGATAAGAAGTGTGGAAGCTTTGTATGATTCTAGACAATGCACACTCTATGGATTAGGGGTATAACAAAGCGGGCATCGACCAGTTTTTGAATACAAAGAGCTCATGATATGCGTCTAAATATCTGTATGTCTATATGTAAACGCTGATAACAGCGCAATTGCCTAAGTACGATTGTAAATTTTGAAATCGTATATGCGTGAGCGAGAGTGTGTTTGTGTGTGTGTGTGTGTGCATGTGAGTGTGCGTGCTTAGTGTGTGTCAATCAAAGGCACTTCTTGACTTTAGTCAAGCTGAAAAACTAAAAAAAAAAACTTAAGTGAAAGCCCCTTTGACCGCTCGTAGCGCCCTTATCAAAGTACGTGGTGTTTGAAATGAAAAAAAAAATATAAAGAGTTCTAATCCTCAGTTCGTCACATACAAAATATATAGTATAGAGTTTACTTCCGTGCTAGTGAAAGAGATAGAAATAAAAATTGTCTCTCATTATTTAGAAAACTTTATAGCATCAACTCTTTATAAACTCTGTAAGATTTCGTGACACGAAACAAGATATTAAAAAATAAAAGTGTTAGAAAGGAGAATAATATAAAAGGAGACAATTGAGAAGAGAGACAGAGAAAGAGAGATGGATATATAAGTAGGTATTTCCATAGATCTATGTCAAAAACATATGTGTGTAAATAATACTCCTTTCAAGTCGTGTGGCGGCAATTTATTTACTTCCCCATGTCAACACAGATGTATTTGCATGCCTGTGTGTGTGTGTGTGCGTGCATCCATATGTGTCAACAACCGAATGTGTTTTTGTTTTTTATGCTTTCATACGTAGCTATGTATGTATGTACATACATATGTTTCTTTAAGATTGCGTGGCTTTGGCTGCATGCGTGTGCGTATGTGTGCGTGTGCGTGTGCTTGGTTTATTGCAATTCCATGAACTTTTGCAGATTTAGCATATCGCTCGATGTGCTAGTCGCGGTTTTTTTTTCTTTACTTTTCATTTTAACTTTCATTGCTTACCATGGCGCAAAAAACTTCACAAAGACATTGCCGGCACCGATGGCCTCGTCGAATGTTTCCGGATCGAGTTCAACGGCGAATTGTTTCTCATCGGACGGCTTTGCTGATTCGTCCGTTGATGCGGCTGCCAAAAATGGCCTGAAGGTGAGCGCACAAATGGCCAGCGGTATAATTGATTTAAACAACATTGTGGAGTGTAGAAAATGCTTGTCTGTCGTCTTTGCACCTATTTAATACACTACACCAAATGTTGGCCGTCTGCGGCAGTGTGACCAGCTTCAGCTGGCGCAAGTATTTTTAATTAGTCTGCCGCCTGCACAAAATGGACGCATTGCTCCGAACGATATCGATAACTAGACATATTCGATAAGCACAGCAGTTAAAAATTATATTTGGGTATTCATTGATTTTGCGTTATTTTTTAAATATTTAATGTAAAAAAATAAACATGCAATATATGTTTCATTTATATAGTCACGGCTAGTATGCATATATGTGTATTTAATTTTTGTTTTTAAATAAACATTTTTAGTTCCATTTCAAAATATTAAGAATGTTTTCAAAAGGCCAAAAATTTAAGAAATATGTATATTTAGCACATTCATTAAAAGACATAAAAATATATACTTAAGATAAAAAATAAAAAAAAAAAATAAACATATAGCACACTATATTACATGTTTTTTAAACTTCTTTTATGAAATATATATGCATATACATATATATGTATATGTATATACAAATTATTTTTAATTTGCAATTTTTCCTCTGCATTTGTTTATATAAAGGATTCTGCATACGATTCTATTTGTATATATATTTATATATTTGATGGATCAATCTTTTAGTTCTGGGGATCATCAGCCGAATGTCGCTAAGTTTGGGGAGTCGAACGATAGCGAGAATCAAATGGGGAGGCATCGATAAAAACAGTCTTCAGAGTATTTGTACCATTTAAAGCGAACGGCACTTATTTAACTTGTTTACAACAAAAACCAGAAAATAATATAGAGTATATTATAACAATTAAACAGGTTACTCTTTCTTTTTGCTTAAAAATCGATTGCAATTTCATCCTTTTTGTTTTGTGGTTTGTTTTTTTGATTCCCTTTCAATGCTAAGCATTTAGTATTTGATTTTTAATAGCTAAGGGCTCTCAGTAGCTGGAGGCGCCAATCATTTTGCGTATCTGTTCGAAGGACAGCCAGAAGGTGAGTGACCAGGGCGCCATCCGTATCCAGCAGGGCAGGAATCCCTTGTATAGAGCAACGAAACCCTCCTTGCCAACCGTCTGACGCAGGCAATCCACCGAGCCGCGATAGAGCAAGCCGCTGCAAAATTAGATATGGTCAAGAATGGGAATCGAAGATATTGCTGGAGGTTTTCCGCTTACCGTCCCAGCTCGTCGGTGGGCTGGTTCATGATGCGCGTCTTCACCACATCCGCCGGAGTGCCCATGATGGCAGCCACGAAGCCGGCGCAAATGGAGGCGAGTACATGGACCGTATGACAGTCGGGCATGTGTAGGCGACGCATGATCAGATGCTTGATCGTGTCGTATGTGGTCAGATCACCCAAATTGACTAGCGCCGCACGCTGCACATTCGGAATGCTGCCCTTCCACAGGCCCTTGATGCCGCCGCGCTGGACAATCTTGCGGAACGCATGCGCGGCACCATGCACACGCGGCGCCTCGCCCATCAGTCGCCGCTTGCCCTCCATTTGGATCTGAACCTTGACCAGGTCTGCCGGCGACGCCAGCCACTGAGCCACAGCGCCGGCTGTGACGCCGCAGAGAGCCGATTTCCAAACGGGCAGCGCCTGGCTCCCATTCTCGGTTAGCTCCTTGCGCATCAGATCATAGCTGCAGATGCGTACGCCACTGTCAATGGAGGAGGACGAGATTAGTTCAAGCTAGCTGCGACTGGCACATATGGAGCGAATTTGTCATTTTGGAATGTTTGAGGCAATCGCATCGGATGCTACTTAAAGATCATTTGAATTTCAATAATAGTACTTGGTTTATGGCTGGTTGGTTCAATTGATTGATTGAGCGATCGATTGATTGATTGATTGATTGAATGCCCACCTATAGACGACGTGTCGGTAGAGCGCCGGCGTCACGCCCTGCCACAACTTGAGGGCGCCCTCCTCGCGTACAATGCCAAAGGCCGTGGCGACCATGCCGCGATATTGCATCTGGTAATGGGGGGTTGTGGTTCAGTTACATAACATATATATATGTGCAGCTCATATTGTGTATATACATACATACATATACATATACATATACCTATCCTATACATACACACACACGCATACATACAGGCACATGTACATGTATAGAACGTGGTATCAAGCTTTTGTTTTGTTTTGGTTTTCTGTTTTTTTTTTTTTTTATCATTTTAGGTTCCACATTTAAACAAACGCACAGAGAAATGGATTTATGGATATTGGGCAGCTAGTGGGGTAGGTAGGTGGGTGGGTGGTGTTGTTTAATTGGGTTTATGGCAGTCAACTAGTCTGAAGCTCTCTATAAAGCCTTATCTCTCCGCCCAGATGGACGCTCCCCCCAACAATAAGAAAAAGAAAAGGTGACAAAATGAAATGCCAGCACCACATTTATCTTATCAGCATGTTGATAAGGCGCATGACTGACCAAAAATAAGAACTAAACTAAAAAAAAAAAAAAACTAAAAAACAATAAATAAATAAATAAGCTAAAGTTAAGTTCGGCACGCCGAAGCGCTTATCATGGATATGAGTATCGATAAGTTATCCTCGCAGGCTGCACAAGGCTACGAGTTGTAGACGTTTGTCAACACTGGCAAGCGGATGGACGGATGTCGTTCGATTTGGGTTAACGGTCCTGCAAGGGTAACGGTTGTTAGCAAAAGCCAGGATCAAAAAGATAGCATGCATGAGAGACCAACACAATAACAAACACCAAAATACCAAAAGTATGCAACAAAAAAATATACCTAAATATGCGCAAAGTACTCACATTCGCTTTGGCGCCGCCGCTGACGCTACTGGTGGCATTAGCGGTACTGGCAATCGCGGCCACACTGGCCGCTTCGCCTTGGATTTGCAGGCGGGTCTTTGTGAGATCCAACGGATATGTGGCCATCTCAGCTACGGAGGCGGCCACCACCGAAACGATATATGTGCAGGCAAACGAGTCCGCATAATCGTACTTAACGGGTCGCAATTGATGGCGTCCACTACTGCTGACGGTGTTGTTTACCGTTGCTGTCGTAGCTGAGGCCGTTGCGGTTGGCGCTGCGGCGTTGGGGCTGGCCTCTGCGCTGGGCACACTGGTCGTGGTTATGGCAGCGGCAGCTGCAGCGGCACTCACTGCAATCGTCTGTGGCGCTGGCATCTCTTAGCTGCAATTGCATTTATTTATTAACAAATTCAATTCAAAATATTGTTCAACTAAATAGACTTGTTGGCTGTCCAAAAATAAACTATGCAAGCGGCGCTGCTGCTGTTGTTACTGCTGCTGCAACTGCGGCTCAAGCCAATGATTGAAAGCGCAAAAATCGCGTGACTTGTTAAGCAATGCAGAGGCTGCTTTGATTTACAGTTCAACTTTTTTCAAGGATGATGCTGTGCGCACAATTGGCTCTTGTATATTTTTACATAACAACGACAACAGCAGCCGCAGCGACAACAACAAAAGCAAGCAGCGGCAACTGCTGCCAACGACGTCAATGTGCGAAGAAACAAAAACAACACAAAAAAGTCGAAAACCAAAATTAGTTTTTGTTGTGTTTGTTATGCTCGCCTTGTTATTCCCGCTGTCCCGTATATCGGCGTCTTGTCTTCAATTAAACGCACGCCCTGGCCGCGAACGCATTGCAAAATTGATTTCTATGTTTGAAACTGATATTGCTTGTCTGGGTGTGTATATTTTCTGCTTTACTGCTTTATGAGCGCTTATCAATTGTGCATCAATAAAACAAAAAAAATATATATGTGTTGCACAAAAACAAAAACAAACCCAAAACTAAACACAGTGCTGTAAAGCGGTGCAGTGTGTGAAACGCCTGACAGTGTAGGATAAGTACTGTATACGGAATATTCAAGCGTCGCTAAAAAGCTCAAACTAATCAAAAACTGGGCACAAATGATAAATTTTCAGTTAACTTCATTTTGGAAACCTTTTCAAAATTTTTAGTGTGCCTCTTATTTATGTCCCATTGAGGCGATGATGCATTTTTTGATTGCATTACTTATTTTGCAGCCAGAATTTTGAAAATAGACTTAACAGTGCATGTAGTTTGCGATATATCGCTTAATATCGATAACGGGTGCTGCACAGCGAACAGCTGTTTATGACTTAATTGGCCTTGCTGTTCAAAAACGGGCTCTGCTGTTGCTTGTGTTGCTTTATTTACTATGCGCATTGCATACGTTATTACGCTGATTACTTCATAGCGCAGCTTAGTAACTAAGGCAGCAACCAAACTATATTTGCAATCATCAAATCGAAGACAGCTATACCAATTGCAAAATCCAATTGCTAAAGGAAGCAACAGTATAAAAAAAAAACAGCAACAACAAAAGAACTCGTTAAATGTAAGTAACAATATGGTATGAATCAAAAGCTAATAAGTAATCTATTCACATGTGTGTGTGTGTGTATGTCTGTGTATATATGACGTAGCATGAGCAAGACAGAGACAGCCGCACCCAAAGCGGAGTCGAACGCACGTCAGAAACTGGAAACGTATCGAGTCTATGTAATCACCTGGAATGTTGGTAGTCGATTCCCGGACAACATTTCGCTGCGTCAACTTCTGGGCCTGCAAGGCGAGGCCAGCGGCGATGCGGCACAGGAATTGCCAGACATCTATGCAATTGGATTGCAGGAGGTGAACGCACAGCCTCAGCATCAGGTGCTGGGCCTTTTCAAAGAGGATCCATGGACGCACAAGGCGAAACAGCTGTTGCGCGGCTACAACTATGTCGCCATCAAGACGGAGCAGATGCAGGGCCTGCTGTTGACCATGTTTGTCCGCCGGCCGCATGTCGAGCACCTGAAGGACATTGAGGCGGAGTTCACGCGCACCGGCTTTGGCGGCATCTGGGGCAACAAGGGAGCAGTGAGTGTGCGATTCACGCTCTACGGCTGTGGCCTGGTGTTTGTGGTGGCCCACCTGGCGGCGCACGATCATCAGCTGGACGAGCGCATCGAGGACTACAAGCAGATTCTCGAGAGCCATCACTACCATGTGAAGCGCTATCGTGAGATCTACGATCACGACTACGTCTTCTGGTTCGGTGATCTCAACTTTCGGCTGGAGGGCAACGACAGCGCCACCGAGGTGCGTGACGCCCTTGGCGACGACACCAAGCACGAGGAGCTGCTGCAACGGGATCAACTGTACCAGGTGCGTGAGCGTACGCAAAAGGCATTCCAGGTGCTGCACGAGCGCCTGCCCGCCTTTCCACCCACATTCAAGTTCAAGGAAGGCACCTCCGAATACGATATGAAGCGCCGGCCCGCCTGGACAGATCGCATCATGTACGCCGTGCAGCCGCTCAACCGGCAGCCGGGTATGCAGCTGGCCATTGAGCAGTGCTCCTACAAATCCCATCCCGCCTACAACATCAGCGACCATAAGCCGGTCACCAGCGACTTCACGATCAAACTGTATCCCAACTATCGTGCACCGGGCATTACGTTTAGTCCGATCTCTGTCTGGAAGATTGGCGATGAGAATACCGTTGAGTATCGCAAGCACGCGGAGTTCGAGGAGGGACCCAACGATTGGATTGCCATCTATGGCATCGACTATGCCAGCCTGGCGGACTATGTAGCGTACGAGTATGTTAATCAGGCCGAGTCGCCCACTTCCTCGGACTCGAATCACGAGAGGGACTACTTTGAGATGCCAGCGCCGACCCCGCATCGCTCCCACCATCATCATCGCAATCGGCAACGCTTGCGCCGCCAGCAGGAAGCCAACGAGGAGCTGGTCCGCCTTGACTTCGCCGACGACGTTGACTTGCGCCACGGCGAACAATATGTACTCATCTACTTCCGCAGCACCGGACTGCGCGGCGTCACCAGCATCGCGCACATCTCCGGCCCCTTTGTTGCCGAGAAGCGCAGCGGATCGCCGCATCGCACCGAGTACCATGTCGACTAGCTAGCGGAGGCCCTCGATATCTATATACTTTAGTCGCAAGATCAAGCACTTAACTGTTATGCCTTAATTTGTTAAACATTATTCTATCACATTCTATATATACATATGCATATGTATGTAAATATGTCGCAATATGATCCATGGGAATGCATTTCTCGTTAACGATCTGTAATTGTCTTCGATCTTTGTATTCTTATACATTTCATTTCACGCTACGTGATTTTTATATGTATATGTTTATTATTATTTTGTTTGATATATGTATATAAATGTTATATAATACACAAATACACGACCACACGATATAGACCAATTGTCAGACTGTTCCCACACTTATACACATATACGAATACGAATTTTTATAGTCGTTTCTTTTATAAAGCCGTAAGTTTATACATATATATGAATATAATGTACATGTGATACTTTATATATATATATGTATGTATTCATACCCCATAACACGGCGGCATTTACAAAGCCCTAAGGTTTTCATTACCCAATTTGATATATAATATCATTTTTATATACAATTTCAACAGATTGTTCGCATATACCAAGGTTTTTCGTATAGGTATATCCAGTTTAAGCGCTTTGCTGCTCTTTCTTGAGCTATGCTTTATATCTCAAGCAATTCGTTTCGCTACTTTTGTATAGACTTATACATATGTGCCCTAAAATGATATAGTGCTTATGCATATATACATATATATAGTATATATGATATATGATCTGCTTGCATAACTTGCTCACTTTTTTTCGCGTTATTTCTTTTAATAAAACTTGAGAGTTGTAGACATATAGCTATTATCTGAGCATTACTTGTTGCAGTTCCTAAAATACATTTATCTGCATGTATACCCTGCCTTAAGTGGGCATTATGATTTGCCATAGAATTTTATATCGGTTATATGGTATTGTAGATGAGTAATGTTTATAGACTATATTTATATTGGCTTTTCGCAATTTCCTTCAAGTATCTGATTGTTGTATAAATATACAAATATAATCTAAATGTTCTGCTTAGGTAAAAATGATCGAGTTCGATTTCAGATGCTCATTATAATGGAACCACCTATATATACACATATGTCAGATCGATATAATGATATAGCGTTCTCTATATATTAAAAACTATTAGATATATGCCTAAATATGGTATATTAGCTACTCAAATCTAGAATTAGCGTTCGTTCAGATATGTAAACTATATGTATATAGACTTGTCTATGTATGTATATATCAATTGTTGATGCCGATCTCTTTTATGGCAACTAGAGTCTTTAATTTAGATAATCTTAAGAGATTACCTACGTAAAGAATACCCACCACAGCGCCTGCCAGGGTATCTGCTAGTCGATCACAATTGGCTGATGCATACTTTCCGGTTTCTGCCTTGTTTTCTGCACTGATCTTTATTTATATATATGATGTGCGCTGTCGAAGCATTTGAAGTGCTTTCAAAGGAAACCTGTTTTTGCACTCGTAATCCCCATTAAGTCTAATGACGTCGCAAACGTCTTGCCACACCTGCAGACCCAATTTGCATACGAAAATGATGACAAATTCCCCATGTCCCAAAAACGATAATATATATTATATAAATATATATAAAGTATTTGTTTGTAATTGAAAAATATTTCAGTTTTCTTTTAAATGGGTTTTTTATTGGATGGTTTTTCTTTTTATTTTGTGTTTTTTTTTTTTTTTTTTTTAGATAAGCATTTTATATATAAATACAAATATAAATATAAATACATGATATATAGTTGCCTGCGCTAGTTAGTCATGACTTTTTATGCACAAATACAAAATACTAGATAATACACATACATGCTATATAGATATATACACACACTTCCCTATATACATATGTATACATATATATGAGGGAAAAGCTCATTAAATTATTTGCTCAGTTTTCAGTTTTCGATTTCGTTTAACAATTCTCACATCAAAATTTCATGCGCAATAAATTTTAAGTAAAGCGCAGAGATAGGAAGATCGGAGGGCGGTACGCTCCATAAATAATCATCAAAGATATATGAAAGAAAAAAAAATATACAAAATATTGCAATTCACTTGACATAAGATCTTTTTAATATTTATCAGTTTTTTCTCTATATATTACTTTTTAATTTGCAGACTTTTTCAATTTCAAATTGTTTCGAGCTAAGTTTTTTCTTCTTTTGGAATACTTGTAAGATATATGTATATATATATCTATAGATATATAATATATATTCTGTGTATGTATGTGTAAAAATTATGTGCTTAAATATTAGTTATGCTCTACAATATATTCGTTGATCAGTTACGTATGATATATGTATATTTACATACATATACATATATGAATATTCGAGTAAATGTGTTAATGAAATTTCATGCATCAATTTCAATTGTTCAATTACAATAGTTAATACAAAATATATATACACAGTTATATACAATTGACTGTTTGTTCGTAGTATCAGAAATATCTTATAATCGAATGCTCTATATAAAAAAGTATGCATATATATATAAGAATTATAGTTGTAGACGTATTTGCTGCCTTTGCCTCAGTCAGTTGGTAATTTAAAAATATTCGTTGTAGTTTCTTTACAAATTGTTTAAAAGAGCGCAGAAAAAAACATCAAATAAACAAAATTAAATGTACTTAAATATAGGACGTTCACGGTATAAGAATGCGGAGGGGGAATCGAGGGGAAAATTACTTTTGGCCTGAACACTTTGGAAGTTAACTATACGAATACAGCTAGCATAATACAAATGTTCTTAAACAACTAAAAAAAAAATTAGTTTACATTCGTTTTTTTTTTTTCTTTAGTTTTTCTTTCTTGTTGGTTTTCAAAACGCATTTTTAACTTTTTTGCTCTCTCTTCTTGTATGTATGCGTTTAACGCACTAATAAATTAACATATACAAAAAAATATATTTAAAAAAAAATTGGTTGAATAATTGTACTTTTTTATAGTTTCTGCGTTTTTTTTTTTTTTTTTGTAAATGTAAACATAAATACATTTTGTTAAATTGGGGCGGGGTAAGGGCATTTGCAAGTCGTACAACTGCAACAGCTTAGCAAAATTGATCTGGCAGCTCTGTGCGCAGGTCTGGCAGCTGCGCCAACTTAACTGTGCATCGCATGTGTGTTTGTGCGTCCGGTTAATTAAACGCGCTTTCTTCTTTTGGCATCTTCTTTATCTCTGCTTTTTGTCTATTCGTAGTTGTTGTTTTTCTTATTTCGCTTCTATTTATATTATTATTTTTTTTTTATATTGCTCTGCGCTATTTAACCTTGATCAGTTTTCATTCCGTTGAACTTTTGGGTCTGTGTATGTGTGTGTGTTATTGTTATGACTTTGTCTGTGTGCGTGTGTGTGTGCATATCAAAGTAAACTATTTAACCGTACTCAATGTTTGTTTAATTAAACGCGCGCTAAAAAACAATGCACACACACACACAGTCACACAGATAAACAATTTGATTTCCAGTGTTTACAGTTACATCCTCTGCTTTCAGATGAATGGCAAGCAATAAAAGATCCACAGCTTCCACGTTCCACAAACGAAAAGGCGATCCACTCCTTCCAATTGAAATCAGTTGATGTTAATTAAATTCTAAAATAAAAAACAACACAGAAAGTTTGCATTGGTAATCGATTATAGACCTAAAGTCTAAAGTCTTATTAGGCTAAGTATTTGCTAGTTTGTACGATCAACAAATTCCAATTGCAAAACTCCAATTAGCAAACTACAAGAATTCCAAAATAGATTAAGCAATCGAAATGACAGAAAGCAGCGAACGACACACATGCATATGTATGTGTGTAAGTATATGTATACACAGACACACACACACACACTCATTCACGAACGCTAACGTTTTCGTACGTGCGATGACGTAAAATGCAGCGCAACCACAATTCCAATCAGAATCAGCTAATTTAAATGTTGCCGTTTTCTCACACTCGAAGCATTTTTGTGGCTGACAAGCGGCGGTAGCACTTGAAAATAAGAAAAGCAAAACCAACAAAACAGAGCAGCGCTAAGAAATAATAGATGAAGAGGCAGCAGAGCCACAGCAATAATAAAAGACCTAAGCATGAAAAAAATGCCTCAACAATAAATTCCTTGTGACTGGGCGCCGCTGCTGCTGCTGCTGCGATTGCTGTTGTTGTTGTTGTTGTTGCTGCCGCTGCTGCTGTTGCTATTGGTTGCGTTTTCATAAACAAAACACATGCACAAATGCTTAGAAAGTATGCATGTATGGTATGTATGTGCGTGTGTTTGTTTGTTGTTTTTTGTAAATTGCCATTTGAAAGTCTTTGCAACAATAGCAACGCATTGTCTTGCATTTTGTTATTTGTGGGCATTCTTTGACGCCTACCCGGCAGTCAGTGGCGTTTTGCAACACTACCTCTACCTCTTTCTCTGCCTCTGCCTGTGACTTTTCAATTAGAATAGCAAATTGTTCAAGTCGAGGCCTTTGCTCTCCTCACTCAATCAGCACTCGCGCTCTGCATTTGTTGTACGAGCATACATGTTTATATACATATTTACATGTATAGCTATCTTGCTTTATCCCTTTTACTGCAGCGCATATCCTATTGCACACCGTTATTTGTATAAATTAAGGCATTTCTTTTGTGCTGCTCACACACACACACACTCACACACACTCACAGTCACATGCACGTGTGTTTGTGTGTGTAAGTAATTTGCTCGTCTTTGTTTGACTGCGGCTAAAAACTGATTTTGAAAAGCACAAACACTCGTTTACACAGACACACTCACACACATTGCGCACTTACAGTTGAACACAATACACTTACATTGCAAGAAAGAGCTTGGCCAGCTGAGCATGGGCATGGGCCTGGGCTCGGGCCTGGGGCCTGGGGCTGGGCAGTCAAGTTGGCCTCTCGCTCGTTCGGTCAATGCGCGTGCTTGAATGTTGTGCTTATTGCGGTTATTACTGTTGTTTTTGCTGCTGTTGTTGTTGCTGTTGTCTCTGCTATTGCGCAAGCCTGCCTGCTTGCGGTGGTTGCTGTTGTTGCTGCCTTCATTGTCATTGTTGTTGTTGTTGCTGCTGCTGTTGTAGTTGTTGTAGGACTCGGTTTACTTTCGCATTGTCGCTCGTCTCAGTTTTCTGCAAAATGTGAAGAAACAACAAAAGGGCAACAAATGATTACCAAGATATTCACGTACATGAACGTGCGAGGGTTGCTCAACAAGTTCATTAAACTTTTACTAACTTAGAAATAAAAGGAATATAGGGACTCTATACATTAAATAAATATATATTCACATATAATAAATAATAATAATATTGCATAATTAATTTACTGGACAAAGCTACACTTATTAGTTCTATTTAAGAAATATATTTCAGTTTTTTTCTATAAATATAAATTCACATAATTTTACATATTTCGGAGCTATACCTTTCTTTTCAAACTGCCCTCGCTTAAGTAAAACAGAACTTCCACTTGAGCCGCAAATTAAAAGCGGATAGAACAATTTACTTGAGTTTAACGAAGTTTTTATGCTCTAGTGCACATATGATTGTATCTATATGAATATGTATATATGTCTGTATGTATGTATGTGGCTTCATCTCTTGATGATCTGCAGAAAATCTTGCATAGATAAATCATGATCTCAAAGTAAATTTGATGTTAAGGAATGTGGAGTTCAAGCAGACACAAGACATACACATACACACACATACATACATATACACTTATTGTACTATATAGTCTGTCTCTCTCTCTCTGCCACGCTTGCTTCGTCGAGGGTATTATAAAAAGAGCTGAGCGTAAAACGTAAATGGGCCACATTGCAATTATAACTTGAAAAACTGCAGAACGAACAAATTAAAATTGCGGCCGAACTCGATTAATGAACGAAGTCTGTTTATACCTCAACATATACATGCATACACATGCTAGTGTGTGTGTGTGTGTGTGTGTGTGTATGCTGTACGCTTTGCATTTTTGCTGCATTTGCTTATTTGACAAAAAAGTACTCAGAGATACGGACACGTACTCGAACTCGAGCTGGCATTCGCATTCGCATCCATAAGATACTTTCGCATTTATCAGATACACAGCCACAAAAACACCGAGAGGAAGAAGCAGCAGAAGAAGAAGAGGAAGACTTTGATATGCGCGTACTGGTTGATGAAAGATGCTCCATTCCCTGCATCTGCATCTGCACCTGCCGCCGCCCCTGCCCCTGACCCCATCTCCAGCTCTCTCCCTGTCTCTCTCTCTGCTATGCCCCTTCATATGGATATAGCTCATTTAGATCTGCGGATCGACTGCTGCACGGCTGCTGAGCGTGACGGTGACACGTTGCATGGGGATTATGCAAAAAAGCCAAAGAAGTTGCAACTGCAACGCTCGCTGGCAGCTGCGGCACGCACAGTGGGGCCAAGAAATGCTAAATCCAAACAAAAAGTCAACAGCATTCACATTTGAATGAGGAAGTGCAGGTAAATAAAGGTGTAATTGTTTATAAACATGCACCAGGAAAACAAATTCCAAGTAGTCGTAGTCGTAGTCGCAGTCTCTATAGTAAACAATTTCCATTAGCATTTGGTTTGAGTAAACAACAGTGTTGGAAAGTTAACTGACAATCAGCTAAAAGGTATAGATAGGTATTATAGATGTATGTATATAGTTCAAACAATTATACACACATACAAACGCACATTTAAATTGTAAACAAGTGCTCGATATTGTTGCATTGATGGTTCAGGTACATGAATTGAATACTTGACAGCGATTTATTCTGGGCAAAGATAAACAGCCGATTATCTCGTATGTGGTCTATGCATACTCAATGGGTTCCGTTGGAAAGTTGATTGAAGTTGTTGAAGACGAGCTGAGTGAAAGCAAGCGAAAATCGTTAGAAATGGTACGATTTATAAACATCTAGTTTGGGCATCAAAATCAGATAGATTTGGGATCAAACAGTCCTTTGAGCTTAGCGATATACTAGGGCTGTAATATGCTTCCCTTGGCTGTGATATACGGAGGGAAGTCTTTGTGGTCTATTTAAAAATTATCAAAATCAAGAATGTTTCCGGTGTTAAAAGTCGTAAGACTTGTAGTCTAGCGATTTAGTAGGATCCCGCTATTGATTAAACCCAATTTAACAAAATACATAATACAAATTTAAGATCTCTAAATAAATATATAAAATATATTTAAGGTTAATATTTGTAAACTCTCTGATCTCACTTAAAATTCTTGGATGTACAAGAGAGCGTCTTTGATCTAACATTAAGATCTCTAGACAGCATTATATGGATATTACAAAAGCGGTTTGTTTTATAAATTCCAAGCCAATTAGAATAACTCCTAAAGACACTCGTATTAATTAGTAATATAGCTAAATTCGAGATTTGTAAGTGCAAGTTTTCTCGCTCTATCTTAATTTTGAAGAGCCCCATTTAAGTAGAACTGCTCAATTATCAACTATGAATAATAGAAGCAGTTAAGATATCATGTATATAGTCATAAAAATGAAACAGAATCCCATGAATAGCTTTAATGTGCCACGATATGTATGTTAATTGTGAGCTGAAGACCGTCCGTGACATGTGCTCGATAAGAAGAGGGCTCTTAACCGGGCAGACGTGTACATATGCATGTGTGTATGTATGTATGTGTGTATGTATATATGTTTGTATCTGTGTGGTGTGTCGTGTTAAGAGTGCTTGTGACCCGGCACAGTTTTAAGCCCGGTTTTTCTTTCTTTTTTTTCGTTTTTGGTGGATGCGTCGGCTTTATGGCATTGCCCAAAATGTTTCTTGCATAATACTCGAGACGATAATGGCCCATGGGGCAGGTTAAAGCCGGAGCTGTAATACATTCATATATAGTGTGAGTGTATGTATGTATGTATGTGTGCCTGTGTGAATGTTGACCGGGTAAAACCACCTCAATAAACAAAAACAAAAGCAAACACACACACGCACACTCATTTGCTCTCAGCACATTTTGAATCGCCTTGATTATTGGCTTGGTAAACATACCAACCGCCCCCCCTTGGTCGGCTCCCCCCCGCACGTAACAACCACCCCGTGGCAGCTCCGACATCTGTTTCTGTTGCCGCAGTGACGCAGTCCACAAATTTGTACACACAAATCTGTATATACATATATACATATATATACATATATATATATTGTATATTAAAAATCATTTTCATTTTAATTTCAATTTCAATTTCAGTTTCGATTTCGATTTCGATTTCATTATGGTTTTCCGCATTCTACCCTGTAGCTATACGAAAATTTTTGGTACACTCATGCTTGTATATTTCGTACATAATTGATGTACAGTCATATATGTATATATATATTTCCTATATCTGGTAATTTATGCCTGATATTCGATTTCGTTTTGGGGGAATTGAACGAAATTTGTTACGAAATCGCACCAAAATTTGTTTTCATTTTGTGTGCGTCAGGGAAGGTATGAACTGATAATGGAATGGATAATACATATATGTATACCTAAATACATTACGATGTTGATGATATTGCTAGAATTACTTTATATATATATCAGTTATATACAGATATATGGGTTCTAGAAGATTATTTCATACCAATAGGTGTATAAATAGGTATACAGCAAAAAGTTTTGAAATATTTCTTTATAATACTTATGAAGCCAAAGAAATTCCATTATATAATTTTATACTAAGCTATAATTATATCCGCATTGCATCAATCCAATAAAGTTACCAATTTCTGAGCTTCATTTAGATCTCCTTAGGCTGGGGGTATCTGTGATCTGCGCGGTATCTGCTCGTCGAGCACCTACATATTTCTTGTTAGCCAACTGTGTCAGCAGCGTCCAATGCAACACTCTCTTGTATGGAGAGGAGGGGTGGGGGGCTGTGCTGTTGTGGCTGGTGTTCCGGGTGTTAGGTCGTCGCCGATGGCTCGGGGGGGAATCAAGTAAAAAGTTCTTATCACGGCGTGTTAAACGTGTGTCCATTTCATCTATCAATATGCATAACATTTAAATGGACTCAAGAGGATGCCATAAAAACACGCACACACACTATGTCGCTCTCTCTCTGTGTCTGTGTGTGTGTGTGTGTGTGTGTGTGTGTGTCAAGGGTTGCGCTGATTATTTTATGGCCATGTGGAAATCTACAGGAAATGTCCGAATGGCCAACGGCGCTGCCCAAGCATTTTTCCATTGAAAAACAATGAAAAACATTTCACATTTCACATTCCTACGCCTCTTTTTGTAGCTCTGCTTCTTCTTCGACCGTCTTGATTTTTATGGCACTTTCAAGTGGTTCGTTCGCAGCGCAATAAATGCAGAAGAAGAAGAAGAAGAAGAAGAAGCAGCAACAGCAGACGCAATTGTAAACTTGGCGCATAGCTGTAAAATAATTAAACAAGCCTAGGCCAAGCATGGTCAAAACACGCACGAGAATTTCAACAGCAGGCGCCGCGGCGCCTTCGCCAGCAGTGTTGGAAAATTTTCCGAAAATGAAATAACCACACACACACACACACACATACATATGTACATATGTCTGCCTGCCGTTGATTTCCATATGTCCAGTTATTTCCCATCATGTTTCCATTGCAATTGCAATTTTCATTTCCCATCGTTGGGCGTATTGCAAAAGTCACAGGGAATCGGACCCGGCAGCACTTACTGTGTGGGCGTACTTAATGGACGCATCGCGCTTACTCAAGAGCAGTAAAAGAAAATAGAGAAAACCCATTTGCAGATTTTAATTGACTCCATGTGAAGCACACAAAATGAGTGGGAAATGTTTGCAGTGTGGTACACGTATATCTATTTATATTCATATTCATATCCGTATCCGTATGTCTATGTCCTATGTCTATATCTATATCTATATCTATATCTATATCTATATCTATATCTATATCTATA